AAAAAAAAAACAAAACAGTCATTACAATATGAAAAACTTGGGGCTGGGGATTTAGCTCAGCGGCACAGCGCCTGTCTGGCAAGCGCAAGATCATGAGTTCCATTCCTAGTACCGGAAGAAAAACAAAAAAAAACAAAAACAAAATCAAAACCAATATGAAAAACTTAATTTATAAGTTAAGTATGAAATAAAAGATAATAGGAAAGAAGAGAGGGAAAGAAAAGAAGTTATTATAACTCAGAGAAGATAATGTATCTAAAGGTATACCTTGAACTAGTATACCTTTTGTCTTACGTATTTTATATGTGTTTTGGCCTACTAGCCTAAGATCTTATAAGAGAAATACATGAATTTGATTCTGGCAAAATAAAAGGAGAGTGAAGGGAAGTGGGGAAAAAAGAGAACTGAAATGTGTTATGTTCATGCACCAACTCCCTAGAATGAATGCAATCATTATGTACTACAAACACGTAGCAAGAAAAGTTAAAAGGGCGGGGAGAGTCATGAATTCTGAGAAGAGAACTAAAATGAGCCAGATTTCGTTACTTTCCAGCAAAGTGGGTTCTCAAGGATTCTAGTGCAACTTTGGGGCCAGGGCCATTGCACCCTGAGTTTCAGACTGCTAACTTCACTTAGAAGTGGTCACACGATGTTTCTCACAGTCAAATTTATCACAGAGCCCATCAACTTTTACCTTTTCTCAAGACTGGTGTGACCATCTTACCTTACTTAGGCTTTCAATTTCTTTCAAGACTGTCAAGTTCAACTTTTACCTCTTAGGCTTTACACAGTGCCTATTTTCTTGCAGGAAGTTTTATTTTTTTTTATTCATCAGCTCACTGGGAAACTGTCTCAATCTATCTAGTTCACCGACCTAACTCCAGTTTTGGGTGTGGTCAGCTGATTCAACACATCCTACACCAGGGATGTGTACACACTCTTCCTCGGTATCCTGGTGCCTATACTCCTTTGTCCAAAATTATTCCAAATAGCACTTCTTACTTTTGGAATCAAGACTTTGTTTATGTAGTGCTAGGGATGGAACCTAGGGTCTCAGGCATGCTAAGCCAGTATGCTACCATTGAATTGTATCCCCCCCAAACCTTTAAGATTTAATTTAGAATTAAAGTTCAATAACAGACTGTAAAATACAGATTCCATCTGAGATAAAAGTACAGAAATAAACCATAGTGAATGGCTCCAGAGACTTCACTTGTGTGAACAGCAAGTCACCACAGTGGCTATAATTATAGCTTATTTAGAACTTTTTGCATGTTTTAAAATACATACACACAAACATGCACAAATATATATATATTTCTATTTTTTTAAAAAGCCGTATGAGGTATGAACAACTCTAACAGTCATTTTACAGATGAGGAAACTGAAGCACAAAGAGGCTAAATAACATTTTCCAGGACACAAAGGTAACCTGAGAAGGAACCAGGATTGAGATTCCAGTGGTGGCAAACCTATGGCAAGCTATCTGTATCACTGAAAGCTCTATAAGTTTCACCATCACTGCTTTAGATTGATCTTTCAAAAGACAATGTACATACATAGGTAGAGACATTTAAAAACAGCTAAGAATTAAATACCGTCAACTCTGAAAACTGTTGCATGAGATGAGAAATAATAAAAAGCTTACTTTTTTTGAAGTTTACGATTTTTTTCAGCTTGCCCTCCCAATTTGCTAAGTCCCAAGGCATCTTGAGATGAGTTTTCTGTCTCCGAAACACCGGCTACAAGAAAGCAAAAAAGCCCCCAAATTGAGAGTAAATTAACATGGCAAAGTTACATATTTTCACAAATAGGTAGAAGACTCTTTGCAGGTACAGAGCTAAATAATTCCTGAAGGCTAAGCTTCTTAGCAAACAATACATCAAAATGTTTGAGAGAGTAAACTTGCATCTCTGAAGAGCTAATCGTTCAGGTCAAATGAATGTTCACAGCTGCTCTCTGGCTCACACCTAGGCAGACTCTGAGAATGTTGCTCCCTGAGAACGCTCCGCTGTGACTCCACGGGGGCACTGGTCACATACAGCAGGCACACAGGGCAAAGCTTGTGCTCTCCCCACTTCCCGCAGTTCGGACGGCTGCTGCAAACCCACCCACCTTGTCCTGGTGATTCTTTGCCAGTTTGTCCAGGTCGACCCTTTTCCTTTTTGCCAAACAAACGGCCAATGGAGGACTTGATGCCCTTCTTCTTCGGGGCTTTGTGGAGCGAGTCCTGGCTGCTGTTACTGCTGCTGGGATTGCTTACAGGACCATCCTGGGAGCCAGTCGAGCTTTAAGGAAAGAAAATGGACTTTTACCACATGCCCTCATCATAGCTCCACAGTCTATTCACATGCACCAAAACAGTCTACATTTTTAATTAATATTTGTTCCTCAAATTTCCTAAAGAACATTTCAAGTCTCTTACATGTAGTACATTATGCACAGTAACTCAGGTTCCCGGTAATGCTCCCACAGACCCATTCCCGGGAAGCCAAGATCCTGATATGTGCTCCCCATTCAGAGGAGACCTGGACTCTAGCCCGCCTGATTTGGATGCCCCAAGGAGCACCCTCGTGTAGGCCTTGCTCAGCCAGCAAGGGCTGTACCCAGTCAATAAGGAAGAGAACATGGCTCAGGAGCTAGAGGAACTTGAGTTCCATCCTCTCAGTAGCTCCTGCAGGCTCCCTGGGCCCTGCTCTCCTCAGGTGCCAAGCAAGAGCAGTACTATCTCTAGGGACATTGTGGGGACTCATGTATAACCTTGGTCATACTGCCTGGTACAGAACAGAAACTTGTAAGAGGAAGTATGAAAAACAATAGTCTATTAGTAACCAAACCTTACTGGCCTCCTGATGGGACATGCTTACTAAAGGAATAAGGACAATGTTGAATTCTCAACTTGTAAGACCCAGAGTACAGGCAGGTAGCTGAGAGGCACTGACTATCCACAGAACAGCACTACCCAGAACCTGCCACATCTGTGTGGTACATTCCTCACGAGGAATAGAAAGGAAGTTCTCAAAGCAGTGAATGTGCAGAATCTGAAGAAACGGAGTTTTTCTATAAAGTGCTAACCTCAAATAATTCCTTTCTTTCCAACTTTGCCCAAACAGATGGCTTCTTCAACTGGATGTCACTATGGCCTCAAACTAGGGAGAGGAATTCTAGGTCTAACATTTAAGTAATCAGAATTGAACTCCCTACCCAGGAATCCCTTAAAAACTTTAGGGCTTTTCTTCTGAAGAAAGGATTAACAGATGTTCTTAAAACCTAATACAAGCAGGTTTTTCAGGGGTCCCTTGGCCTATGAGTCTTGCTCCTTACTTTCTCATGTCCCTGATGTCTTCGTGGCTGACTGTATGCAATGCCCCTTTGTGCAGCCTGTCTAACCGGAGGGACCTCGGAGAGGAGGGAGGGGAAGTTTCACATTTTATGGTTGTCTTGTCATCTCGTACTTCTTCTCTGGAAGCTGGCAACTGAGAGGTAAAATGAGAACAAAATTAGTTAATAGAGGATTATAAGAAAACAAATCACATAGGCTTTAAATTACATACACTTACTTGAAAATTTATTAGCTATACTTTCTACTTGTGCCCAAAGGTCTCATTTTAGTCTAATGTTACCTGGAAGGACTATCTTGTCCAGGACAATGGGACCATGTAGCACAAAGAGCACAGGGCAGTCCAACCTGTAGCATTCCTCTATGTGAGGACTGGGAATCACAGGGACATCATGACCCCCTCTCAGCTCAAGGTTCTGTTCTCCCTAGAGCCCTAGGCACATCCGAGGATAGTTACTGAAGAGCCGGGAAGTCCTGAACAAAGCCTGGACACTGCACCCTTATCAATTTAAGATAACAGTTTGATTCTCATTACTGAAGAGTCCACGACAGGTATCTTCAGCTCCTGATGTCATTCGAAACTAACAGGGTGTGTGTATGTGTGTGGCTGAAACCTCAGGGAAATTGTCAACACCTTTACGTCTAAGAGGGAACAAGACAAGGAATGGCTTGGACCAAGATCCAAACATACGTGTGTGGTTTCTATTTCTCACTATTTGGACCAGATGCTGTGAGTGGAAGTGCTCACATGCAACTTAAAGTCTTACTTCCATGTGGCTTGATAAAATAACCCTGGGTAGATCATTAAAAGAGGATCTCTCAGACTCTGGGTTTTCCTTTTTGTGATGGGCCACAATGGGCCACAAGTATGCCTATGTGTTGAGGGAGGCAGGGTTGTGGTAACAACAGTGAACAGATTAACCCCTTCAGGGTCTGGGTAGGCCCTACTTAGAAGGATGCTATTTTCTGGTTTGAAGCAGGACTAGGTTTCATGAAACATTCATGGTGGGCAACTATATGAACAACAAGAACTGAATAGTTAACTTTTTTGTCAGTGCAACTGTATGAAGGATGCTGATTCCATTACAGTCTTGCAGCAGCTCAGACCAACTAGATTAGTGTAACTCAGAGCTGAGCTCATTCAGGACATAATCTTAACTGATAGGTAGATAAATTCTCCATCTTTTTCTTCTTCTGTTTTTTTGTCTTTTTGAGACAGGGTTTCACTATGCAGTTCAGGCTGGCCTTGAACTCACAGTGTAGTCCAGGCTAGCCTTGAACTCACATTGTAGCCCACGCTGGCCTCAAACTCGCAGGGATCCTCCTGCCTCAGCCTCTCTAGTGCTAGGATTACAGGCGTGCGCCACTACATCTGGCTCTCATTTCTAACTGTAATAACAAGACAACAAAAGACTGCTATGGGCTAGGGTATGGCTCAGTGGTAAAGAGCGTGCTTATTTAGCATGCTCAAGGTCCTGAGTTTAACCTCTAGTAATCCCATCTCTGAAAAAGGCCATTATGCTTGAAATTACCAACATGAATCATGACAATTTAAAATTTCAGGTTAGAACAATCATTTGTTAAAATAGAAAAGAAAAAAAAAAATAGGATAAGGCACTATACGTATGCTCCAGGCACAAATAAGAGATCCTTGCATCAACACCCCACCCCTCAACCCACCGCCACTCCCTCCCAATAGAGCAGCTCACATACAGATGCTGAGGACAACTGCCACTGCACACCAGCGGCAGCACTGTCCTGCAAGGGCACCACCAGGTAAGGCAGGAGGTATGAAGTGGGGCACGGTGTAGCGCCAGAATGCAGCAGGTATAAGGGAGAGTTTCTGGATCAACATAAAGAATGCCCACCTATCAGCCCTGCTCCCAGTGCACTGCTTTTACTCATAGCATCTGGACAAAATGAAGGCTCAAGGGAGAAATGCTCCAGGTTTGAAAATCAAACTAGCCTTAACTCACACCTACTCTGCATATTATGTGATTTAAGCTTCAGTTTCCACATCTGTAAGTGGGGGTAAGCACAGCAACTTGTTTCTCACAGGGATGTGCTTGTGGACAAAGTAAGGCAACAGAATGGCCAAGCACTGAGTCTGGCACCTGTTGGAGAACAAACGCTTACGAAGTGCTAACCATCAGTACTGGTGAAACTGGTTTTCCTAAGTCTAAAACCTATGGCTCTGCTTCAGTCATTCCTTACTTTCAAATGCTAAATTCTGTGTCTATTATACACAAGCATGTAATGTTTAGACGCAAAAGCAGTGAAAACAGCAAACTCTTATATTTGTTCCCATGTTCCATGGATGGCCAACTGCCAAGAGGATAATCACTTGTGATGTGGAAGATCAGTTAACACTTTCAATTTAGTGTCAGTTATTCATTGAAATATAATGGCAGTGTTGCACTTATGTATAACATACATACTCTTTCATGCATTATGGAGATACAAAGTTAAGCTCAGTTACTAAACAATTTACCTTTCTACGATGTTTCCTTAAGTCGCTAGGCTGAAAGACGCATGCAAAGAAATGGAGAGAGACCAGATTTACTGCACGCTTAAAGTTAAAAATTCAAGGATCAGTACAGGCAAATACATTACAATGTGAACGACAAGACAGAAATAAGTGAGAGAGGATTTAGAGAAAATATAACTGGAAGTCAAACAATTTTTTGTCACAAATTTAAATCTAAGTTATCCAAGATTTACCAGAATACACTACTACTCAGAGAGAAAATTCTATCTGAACACATACAATTTAAAGCATGGCATTCTATATAACAAAGGGCCCTAATAATCACCTACTCTACGCCAAAAATCTCTGTTATAATAGTCAAATGATGACGAAGTTACTGTAATATCTATTATAAAACTGAACAGTCAGGCATGGTGCTGCACACCTGTAATCCTAGCATTCAGGAGGCTGAGGCAGGAGAACTGCCACAAGTTCAAGACCAGCCTGCACTACATGGTGAGACCCTGTCTCAAAAGAAAAACCAAACAGAAAAAAAAACAAACAAAAAACCTGAACAAACCCCTTTTTAGTAAATCATCTTTTGGACAATAACGTAAGCTCTTCACCTAGAATATGACTGATTACTTCTCAAAATATAAATTTATCACTGGGTGGCATACACATGAAATCACAGCACTCTGGAAAGCTAAGGCAGGACTGCCAAGTTTGAGGTCAGCCTTTAATTTAACAGGATGCTGTCTCAAAATAAAAACTAATAGTAAAAATTTTAAAAGGCCTGCACATGTATCTCAGTGCATAGGCCTGGATTCAATCCCTGGTACTGTGGAACAGAGGGGAGGGGAGAGGAGAGGAAGAGAGGAAGAGAAGGGGAAGGGACAGGACGGGAGGAAAAGAAAGCAAGCTAGGCCTCCCAACATATGTAACAACAATAGCTAGCACAGTACTAGGTAGAATTAAGCTATTTTAATTAAAACGTAGTCTATCAAAGACTGTAGTATATGTGCAATAAGTTGATGAGATTTAAAATCCTGATTACAACTACTAAAATCAGAAATTAATACTGTCTGTATAGTTTCCATTAATTTTGCACTCAGCAGTGCCCCCTTCCCCTGCTTCCACAGTATGCAGGCTTGAACTCAGCCAGGAGCACTCAACAAACTACATTCCCAGCCATTTTCATATTTTTATTTTGACACAGGATCTTGCTAAACTGCTCATGCTGGCCTCAGACTTGGAATCCTCCTGTCTTACCAGTAGTTGGGATTACTGGCATGCGCCACTACATTAGGCCTAGATTACTTCTTAATATAGGAAATATTTCATTGATGAATCATACAGATCCTATACAATCTAAGTAAAAACACTCAACCTCTTATATCCTGTCTGTATCCACACTTATGATACACTAATTATGATTTGTCACTACTGAGCAAAACACATTTTTAATGACAAAAGCCCAACAACCCACTAATCGGTCACAATCCAGCACAGACTCACACACAGTCGCCTGGTTACCTGTGCAGGCTGTGAAGAGCCATCAAAGCATGGGGTGGGGCTGGAAGGGGAGCTGGATGGATAAATTACAGATTGATGGGGACCTGGGGTCTGGTTTAGAAATGAATCTGGAGATGGCTAAAATGAAACAAACACAAGGGTGGCATGGGAAATCAAAACCAAAAATGGAAGCACAGAGACTGTCAGCCAGCATACTGAATTACAGAAGCAGGAAAGAAGTTTTCCTCTGTTGTTTTTTGTGGTTCTGGGGATAGAAGTCAGGGGCACTCTAACACTGAGCTATATCCCCATCATTTTTTTTTATTGTTTTTTTATTCAGTACCGGGAATCAAACTCACAACCTTGCACTTGCCAGGCAGGCGCTGTGCCGCTGAGCTAAATCCCCAGCTCCCACCATCATTTTTTTTTTTTTTTTTTTTAAATTTTGAGACAAAGTCTTGCTAAATTTGTCCAGCCTAGCCTCAAACTCATGATCCTTCTGCCCTAGTCTCCTGAGTAGCTAGGATTACAGATGTGACCAACTATGCTCAGGATACCCAGCCCTTTTTGAGTCAGGGTCTCTCTAAAGTGCCCAGGCTGACCTCAAAAGTGGCAAACCTATTTCAGTCCAAAAGTAGCTGGGATTACAGGCACGTGCTATTGTACTTCTTTTACAAATGTCTGGAAAGAAATAAGGACAAAACCAAAATAATGAGACTGTCAAAAGGATTAAAATATGATGCCAGGCATAGTGCCACAGTATTTTGGGAGGCTGAGGAGGGAGAATTGCTATGAGTTTGGGTCCAGCTTGGGCTACATAGTGAATTTAAGGTCAGCCTGACTTACACAGCAAGGCCACTGTTTCAAAAAACCAAAAAATAATAAAATAAAATTTTGAAAAAAGAAAAAAGGGCTCAGAATGTAGCTGAGTGGTAGAGCATCTGCCTAGTACGTGAGAGGCCCTGGGTTCAATCCCCAATATTGCCGAAAAAAGAAAAAAAGTTAAAATATTGCCCAATTAGTTAATGGTATAAATTATAAAAATAATATATCCAAATGCCACAAAAGAGACTGGTAACACTTAACATGCCACTAAAATGATTTGACTCATTTAATTATATGCTGGCTAACACTGCAACTAAAAATGAAAGTGTACTGCAACAGAAAAAAAATGATACAAGTACAGGTGAAAAGCAAAATGTTATAAATATGACTTCACATGAAATGCGATCTCATAAGCAAGACAATCACAAAACCTAGACTAAACCAAAAAAGTCTTCACCTCAGCACGTTGTCACCAAAGGGTAAAAGACCACACCATTTCCAGGACAGAAGTGATACACAGCTGATGAGTGAGAAATCTATCCACCTCCCAGGAAGCTAGAAGAGGCTCAGTTGCAAATGCCTCACACACAGAACTTCATTCAATGTTTGTGTATTTTCTTAATTGTCTACTCCTAGGAAACAGGAACTATTTCTGGCTGCTGTGCCTTGCACAAAGCCAGTGCCAAAGGTTCAGTTATCCAAATATTAAAATTAGTCTGGTGTACCTGCATGATTAAATATTAACTAGTTTTCAAAATCTTGAACCCAAAATACAGGTTATTTTCTTCTGGGTAAAAAGAAGGGAATGCAGTGTGTAACATTTCATGCAGGGGTGCTGGGGCAGCTGCAGGGGAAAGGCTACATATACTTACCAGAGTCATGACGCCCAGCCTGTCCACCTCCCGGGCTGGGCTGTGAGGGACCCTTCTTGGGGTAGAACGACCGCTGCCTGGAGGAGAAGAGCCAGCAAGCGAGGAAGCAGGATAGGGGGGGATAGAGCTCATTGATCTAAAACGACCAAGATTGTCTAAACTTCCACTGCCAACTCTACTCTCAATTTCCTCTGCCCGCTGCTCTGTGTTTTCCTTTTCTTCTTGTATCAGCCTAAAATAAAAACAAAAGTGGTCATCCTCCCCTTATTAGCGAACAGATTCACATATCCTAATTTAAAAAATCTATTCATACTCTACCTACATCACTGTGAGTAAACTCCAATAACTTGATCACACAGTTAATGTTCCTACTTTGTATTCATTTTTAATATAATGAATTTCAGAACAATAAAAAATAAATCTGAGCTTTGTTCATCTCGATATCTCTCATTTGATTTAATTAGTCACATTACACATTTGGAGGGGGCTGGGTGACAATTTTTTCTATGGTTACAGCTAATTCCTTAGTAAGCGAAGTGCCATTTAAACTTTACAACACTTATTTCCCTATTTATAGAGTAAAGCTGTACATTTCTCTGTAGATTTAATCACTGGAAATCAGAAACATCAAAGAATCCACAAAAATATTACAAGTTCCCAAGCAATTTGTTAGAATAAATGAAAATGCTGTCTTGATTTATTTTTTCAAAGTTTAAATTTGAATACACGTGTTCCCTGATAGAATTCTCTACTTCCCATGTCCACATTTCTGGATTCCTGTTAACCATGCTGCATGAATTTAGAATTGAAGATTAAATGCTGTTCTATCCTAAGGTATTATGGATAACTTCCATAACTATCCATTATGGATAACTAAACAGCAGTTGTGGTATCTAACTGTATCAATAATAATTATTCTAACATTAAGGAGCAAAAACTTTGCAGTGACTCTGCAATTTCTTTTTTTGTTTGTTTGTTTGTTTGTTTTTGTTTTTCTCCGGTACCAGGAACCGAACTCACGACCTTGCGCTTGCCAGGCAGGCGCTTTTGCCGCTGAGCTAAATCCCCAGCCCCTGCAATTTCTTTAATATTAGGATAATTATTAGTAGAATCAAACTTATATAATCTAAGAAAAGTGGGGTTTTTTTGGTTAGTATTAATAAAAGGAAATCTCCAAGTCAGTGAATAGATCAGACCTTTTACACTAAGTCAATTTATTGCATAATCTAGCAAAACACTGTAAAAACTAAAAAACTGCTGGGTGGGGTGGTACATGCCTGTAATCGCAGCACTCGGCAGGCTGAGGCAGAAGGATTGCTATGTGTTTGGGGCCAGCTGGGGCTACACAATGAGTACAAGCCTGGCCTGGACTATACAGCAAGACCTTGTTTCAAAAATAAATAAAAATTAAAAAAAAAAAAAACAACTAAAGGTACATAATCCTTTTGTATTTCCATAAAGATGGGGTATTATGGTTGATACATTGTGTCAACTTGGGGAGTCTAGAGGTTTGGCTAAGTAACTCAGCAGGAAGACAGGATACTTACTTTGTATATATCCTGAGCCTGTTGCAGAGGAGGGCGTAGAGATTATGTGAGAGCTACACGCCCCTTAGGTGGGGGTAGTCTGTTTACGATGTAAGGCAAGAAAGAAGCTGCTTGCCGCCATTCCTCCGTTTTGCTCTGGCTGTTTGCTGTTCGGCTGCCATTCCCCCTTTTGCTCTTGTTGCTTTGCTACCTTCTGCCTCGGAGCCAGCCAAGTATAGACTAAAACCTGCACAAACTGTAAGCTAAATAAACCTTTCCTTCCTTCATTTTGGACGTTGGGTATTTTGTCTCAGCAACGAAAAAAAAGTAACCAAGACAAAATTTGGTACCAGGAGTGGGGTGGGTCGTTGCTGTGACTATACCTGACCATGTGGTTCAAGAGCCTTGAGAAATGGCTTGTGGGAAGTGTTTGGAAAGGTTCAGAGATGTCGCCTAAAAGAAAAGCGCTAGAACAGCTTCGGCTGTTCTGTCTGGGAGATTCTGGTCAGAGCTCAGAAGCCCAAAAGGCTGATAAAAATCGTGCTGGTAAAGACCAGGTTGGGGAGGTTTCTGCTGGGAAGAAGGACTTCATTGGTTGCTGGAGTACAGACAATGTGTGTTATGGCTTGGCACAAAGTTTGTCTAAATTTTGTTCGTGTCCAGAGACTTTGCCTAAGACTGAGATTAAGGGCGGCAATGGACTAATTAATCTGGCAAAAAAAATTTCAAGGCAGTCAAATATTGGGGAAGTGACATGGCTATTGTTGGGGGCTTTTAGCCAGATTTATATTAAAAATCAAGAGCAAAGAGCCCAGCAGGATGATTTAAAATGTGAGTTTAGCCAAAGAAAAAGCTCCAGTAAATTTGTGGACTGCAAAGGTGGAGCTGAGGAGATCTCTATTGCTAAAAAAAACAGAAAAATAAAAAAGATGGCCTGAGGGCATCACAAAAAGCAGCAAGTCTCCACCCTTTGCAGCCTCAAAACTGCAAAGGTGACAGACCTTGCCTTAAAAAAAAAGCTGCTGAGCACCATGTTCCAAAATGGCGGCGGCGGCCGCATCAGGTTCCAAAATGGCAGCAGCGTAAAAAATCTGCTCCTCAAAATTGGATACAGAGTGCCCAACAATCCAGGCACTCGACCCCTGTGGCCAAGAAAAAAAAAAACTTGGCTACTGCTCCAGATGGCAGCAGACCTTGACATCATCCACGTGGCCCTGGCTTTAGGTGCATAAAAAATGCACGAGTTCTGAGGTTTAAGAGGCTTCCACCCAGATTTCAAAAGGCCTAAAAAGCCAGACAGTGTGCCCCTGAGATGACAGTGTGTAAAGCCGTGAGTATAAAACAAAAGGGGCACTAGAGACCTCAAAAGTTTAAAAAAGCCAAGACCATAGATCATCAAAAAAAAGCTACAAGGAGGGAGCAAAGTGGGCCTAAAAAAAAGCCATAAAAGCTATAACCACCAAAAGTGCCATAGGGGTAGACTCATACAAGCCTTTTAGAGCTCACAATGTGCCACAAGTTGCTTCAGATGCTACATATAAAATTACAAGACATAATGTTAGCCCTGCTAGATTTTAGACTTGTTTTAGTCCCCATACTATATATCCCCGTTTATACCTTTTAAAGTGATACTGCTTATTTTGTGCCATTAAATGTTGGGAGTGTTTAACTTTTCATTTATACAGGGGGTCACAGCTAAGAGCTTGCCGTCATCTCGGAGATTTGGGACTTAGACTCTTCAACAATACTACAACTGTTAGGACTTTGGCAACTCTTACAGATAGACTAAAAGCCTTTTATATAAAGGGATATACATGAGTCTTTGGGGGGCAAAATGTTATGGTCCTAATATAATAACATGTCTTTATATCTAAAAACTGATTTAAAAAAAATATATCTGGTTGCCAAGTTGACAAGGGATAGAGTGTTATGGTTGATACATTGTGTCAACTTGGGGAGTCTAGAGGTTTGGCTAAGTAACTCAGCAGGAAGACAGGATACTTACTTTGTATATATCCTGAGCCTGTTGCAGAGGAGGGCATGGAGAGTATGTGAGAGCTACACGCCCCTTAGGTGGGGGTAGTCTGTTTACGATGTAAGGCAAGAAAAAAGCTGCTTGCCGCCATTCCTCCGTTTTGCTCTGGCTGTTTGCTGTTCAGCTGCCATTCCCCCTTTTGCTCTTGTTGCTTTGCTACCTTCTGCCTCGGAGCCAGCCAAGTATAGACTAAAACCTGCACAAACTATAAGCTAAATAAACCTTTCCTTCCTTCATTTTGGACGTTGGGTATTTTGTCTCAGCAACGAAAAAAAAGTAACCAAGACATGGGGACAGACTATCTTTCTGAGTTACCACTTTTTAAAAGAGGCACCTGCAGGTTGGGTGGGGTAGTGTATGCTATAATCCTAGCACTCTGAGTTGGAGGCAGGAGGACCACAGCAAGTTTGAGGCCAGCATGGGCTACATAGCAAGTTCAGGGCCAGGCTGAACAGCAAAACTCTATCTCAAAAACAAACAAACTAAAATGTAGCTGCTTTTCACGTGGATCTATGACTGGCTGTGACTACATCAGCTCTGAGCCAACATGGCAGATCTCAGGACACCTCTGACCACACTGCTGCATCCCCAGACCAAGTCACTGTGAGCAGTGGTTACCTGAGCCCTCTTAAGCAGTACATAGGCAAATTCTTGGATCTGATTTCAAAACTGTTTGGTAAATTTCCCATTGTAACCCCTAATAGATTTGTTAAAAAAAATAAAAAGCTATAAAAGATTCAAATATCCACCCCGTGACTACTCATTATCCTACACAGAATAACTTTTCACAAGCTATAATAATTTAATACAGCAAAAGACAAGGAGGAATGGGGACTTGCAAACCAAAACCCTCTGCTTTCCATGCCAAGCTGCCATTCAACAGGGTCCTGGAAATGAAGCTCTATGAGGTAGGATACACCAGTGGCCTACCAGTGTGGCGGGGATGCAAGAGTAGGACCTTGGGGTTTAGAGTCAAGGGGATACTCTGGATGGACGGATGTTGATAAGCAGCTCTCCCTCATCTCCCATCTTCTGTTTGCTATGGGCTATGCTGACTTCTTTCTTGTAGAGTCACCCTGTTGTCTGGCATTGGCCAGCAGAAGGAAGCTGCTGGTACTTGTCCACTGTGTGTTCCAGCCACTACCTCTCCGGGCCACAAACCTTCCCCTTGTTCACTGGGTTAGGGAGGTGAGTGCTCTGCCTATCTTTGACAGCTCTCCGGCTGCCAGGGGGAGCTGACCCGGCTCAGGGCTCCCCAGGTGGGCACTGAACCCCTAAGGCACTCTCCAACTGCGTTAGCTTCTGGGGAAGAGATTTAACATTTTTTATATCCAACAGCATCCTACACAAAAACACTAGCACCACAACTACAAGCCAACTGCTCTGGTTATTTGAGTTTATAATCAAGACAAATTTAGAAATTAAAATTCTTTTTTTTCTGAGATAGGGTCTCACTGCACAGTTCACGCTGGTCTTAAACTCACTGTATAGCCCAGGCTGGCCTCAAATTCACGGCACTCCTCCTGCCCCAGCCTCTCAAGTGCTGGGATTACAGGTGTGCACCACTACACCCAGCAAGAAATTAAAATTCTTAAAACAGCCAGGCATGGTGGTGCACACCTATAACCCAGGTACTTGAGAGGCTGAGGCAGGAGGGCTGTTAAATTCAAGGCCAGCCTGGACAACTTAGCAAGACCTTGTCTCATAATGAAATATTAAAGGGTTAAGAATATAACTCAGGCCAGGCATGGTGGCATATGCCTGTATTCCAGCACTTGGGAGGCTGAAGCAGGAGGATCCCTATGAGTTCAAGGTTCACTGGGCAACACAGTGAGTTCAAGGCCAGCCTGAACTGCATAGCAAAACAATGTCTCAAGAAGACAAGGAAAAAAAAAAAGAATGTAACTCAGTGGTAGAGTGCTTTAATCCCTTCTACCCACTCCCAATATTTGTAAAACAAAATTTAAGTGAGTTTTATAAGTATCAAATATTTAGAAGATGTTAATTCTATTTGTTTGAGACTTTTCAGAGCATACCAGGCTTCCTCACACACCTGATCTCTTTGTTGATGGCATCCAGCTGCTCCTGAAGCATCATGGCCAATGTCTGTGCATCAGCCTGCCCGCTGGGTGACAGCAGATCCACTGAGCTGAGCAGAGTGTCCCTGTCGTCTTCACCATCAGACACATCAACATCGCTCTCGAATGCCTGTGCCACATTTGCCAAAACACTAGCTTGCTGGGCGCGTTCCCAATCCTGCTCATTGAGCGTCTGTACCTGTCAACAAGAAAGCTGAGTCTCAGCAGACTGAAATCAACAAGGCTAGTTACAGGAAAATGAAAGAAATGTATCAGAAATTTTAAAAAATTTTAAATGGAGGACCAGAAGAGTTTGGAAAGAAGGGTCATGTTTTTAAGTTGCTGACACATAATATGCTTATGTACAAGAAACGAAGAGTGCAGGCATGGTGGCACACACCTCTAATCCCAGCTACTCAGGAGGCTGAGGCAGGAGGATAGCAAGTTTGAGCTCATCTTGGTCAAACTGGTGCAACCCTGTCTAGAATAAAATAAAAAGGAGTGGATGTAACTTAGCCCTCCCTGGGTTCCATCCCAGTTGGATGGGTGGAGAGGAATAGTGAGTGGGGAATGCATTGTTGCTGTGCTCCTGACTACCCGTGTTAAAAAGTAAAGAAAAAATGGCTTAAATGCACTGGATTCACTCAGCTGCCATCACATTTTAAAAGTTTTATCAGATGACACAGTGAATTTGAGTCTGCAGACCCTTCTAGTACTGAGAAAAGCATAGGGAGAAAAGCAAAATGATAGCAACAGGAGCAAGCTATGCGGACACACTGATTCTTAGGGTGTAGGTAACAATGAGCTGGCAGGTGGGGTGTTGTTGAGAAAAGCAGTTCCTGTAGAAAATACTGTAATCAGAGAGCACACAGAACAGACACGTGCACTGGCCACCCTGGTACCCTACCCCAGGATCATCGACTTCCCACTGGTTCATCCCTTTAGCATAAGAACATTTTCTCTCATCTCTCCACCTTTAAACAACAAACAGCAGAGAAACCACAACACTTTCATCCCCGATCTCTGGCTCCAAGCTCCTGAGGCCCACTACCCTACTTCTCTTGCCCCCATTAGAGTGCACTTCTGTAGGGAGCTGCCCTGGCTGTCTGTACTCCTTTGCTCTCACCCTGGGGCATGCTGCAAGGAGGCCTGCAGCACCTGCCCACTGGCAGAACTGCTCCAGAGAAGCCCCAAACTACAAGTTACCAACTCCACCAGCCATATTCTGCTCTCCTTGAGGGACTCAGGCTTGGTTGCTGCCCATCTTCCCCCTAAAGCATCTTGCTAGCTTGGCCCCAAAACACCTCTCCTGGTTTCCTCCTACTTGATGGGTCGCTCCCATCTCACGCTAGTTCCCCCAACTCCTGAAGTGCTCTGTGGTTCATCTGTGGACTTGACTATCAGCAGGCTTTCATGTGTAACCTCAGCATGCTTCATGCCTTCAAAATGCCACCTGTAAGCTCACAGCCTCCACGCTGTAGCTCTAACTCTAGCTCTAGACTGCTCTCACGGATTTGAGTGTCTGATCCCAATCCTTGGAGACAATATAGGCCCATCAACCTGATCACAGCCACAGCTCAACTCCTAGCCTGCCTCAATTCTGCTGCCTTCCTCATCTCAGGAAACAGACTCTAGCCTTCTGTCAGCACAGCAGGATCTTGAGCCATCTTGACTCTTCACTCCTTCACACTGTGTCTAATTGCTCAGCACACACAGCTGGCACTACCTAACAGTGTGTCAGAATGGCTCTTCTCTCCTTCAAGTCTTTGCTTACATATCAATCTTGTGATGACACCTCCCTAGCTACTCTACTGAAAATTCTGCTCATTTCACAACCAGGACATCTTGGGCCCCTTATCTATGTCCTGCTTATTACCACCTGACACACTAGAAAGGACTGAAAATATGTCCAGACTCTCTGCTCCTCTCTTTAAGAGGTGGAGAGCAAGTTTCACCTGCCCCTGCGCCAAGTGGACAAGACCCAGGAACTTATTGGGAGGAACAGAAACGAATGGCAGTGAGGGCATGGGACTTGCTGGACCAGGAGGGTAAAGGTACTGAACTTTCCCTGTTCTCTGAGAGTGCGCACTCTGAGGAGAGCCAGCACCAAGCAGCTCCACAGCTAGTGCACACGGTGAGGACCTGAGCCTGAGGCCTACAGTGGTGTGAGTGCCCTGAGGCAGGGCCTCTGCCCCCTACCAGGCCTTCCACAACTGCAATCTAGTGAGACCCTGAGCTGGAGTCATCCTGCTGGGCTGCTCCTGAACTTACACAACAGTGAACCAGGAACGCTCACTGTTCTGAGCCACTACACTTTGTAGTAACTTGTTTTTTTTTTTAATAGTAACTTGTTATATACTACTAGGTAACCAACATTCATGCCACATTCTACTTTGTTCACTGCTTTTTTCTCCTCAGTGGGACACGTGCGCTAGGGCGTGCAGGCATCTTGTCTTTTCAAGCACTGCTGAAGCCCTAGCTCTACGGTGGTACCTGGCCCAAACTAGCTGTTCAACAGATGCAGGTGGTCAGTTATACAGCAGTTTATCAAAAGACATGCTGTTGAAGAGTCTGAAGTATGTAGGCTTTATAGTTCAGCTCTGGAATGTTCTTCAAAGGCCCACAGTAAAGGCTTGGACCCCAGCCCATGGTGGTATAGTACGGCCTGTAGGAGGAGCCTACTGGGAGGACTCTGAATCACTGAGGCTGTGCTCCTGTGAGATGCCAGCCCTTTCCCTCTTTTTTGCTTCTTGCCCATAAAATGAGCACCTGTGCTCTGTCACATGTTCCAACATAAAGTGCTACCTCACACAAAGCCACATGGCCAACTGGTTACAGACGAAAACCCCTAAAACTATTGTTGACCTTAGCCAAAAGACTGAGAAGCAATTAAAACCCCTAAAACCAAAACTGTGAGCCCAAACAAAACATTTTTTCAGAAGACAACTGTCTCAGATTATATGTATCATATTAGAAATACTAATTATCTTCACTAAGTCATAAATACATATATTCATTACTATCAATCAATTTCAAGTTGGTACTAATTAGCACTATACCCATCTGCGTGGACTGTACTTTATCAAAATCTCAAAAAAAAAAAAAGGAAAAACGTAGTATGCCCTAAAAGTACACTCTTAGTCAGAAAAAGGAAAATAGGGAAGAAGCAAGCCACCTATTGAGAGCTTTGTTCACAATAAGCAGGTAACTTTTACGCAAGCAGATGTACTTCACGCAAGGCCTTGCCTTGGAAGGCTCGTCCTGCAGCGCTGCCAGCCGACCTTTCTGGGGGCGCCGCAACACTGCACTGGTGCTGTAGGCATCTGTGTGCCCATCTGCCATGGGGAGCCTGAAATCTGGGACACTGCCCAAGTGGGGGCGGCTGAAATGTGAAACAAAGGTGTTGTTAGAAGAAAAGGTAAACAAGCTTTGTGACTCTTTCAAGCCAGACCTGTTGATTTGGAAACCACATAATTTCACGCAGGAAATGGTCTCCAAGGAGGGTATTTTCCTTGTGTGTAGGGAGCTACATTCAGCCTGCTCAAAGCCAACATTTAAAGTTTTAGTTTTCCAGTTCTACCAGGTGGGAAACTTCACTATACAGGAAAACCCATGCAGCCTACCATGGACAAAGACCAGACATCCAGGGTCTAGTCTGCAGCCACGTGAAAGCCACCTGACAATGTCCTCTAGGTCAAGGCTGCAGCCCCCTCATTTCCACTGTTCTTTCTCCAAGCTGACCAAGGGACATGCCCAGATGCCACTTCCAGCCTTCATCTGCTCCATGGCTTTCCCTCTCGTGTGCAGATCCATGGAGTGAGAGCCGAAAGTCACAACGCAGTCTTGAGGGCCCCAGCTGCACAAGTCCCTTCAGCACAACTGGGGCACCTGGGAACTGCAGCTGGAGTTTGCTTCCTTGTTTTTTGAACCCGAAGACTGGGCTTGTGTGCAGTTCCCTTCCCAGGGGTATGGAAAAACACTGTTAAGGCCCCAGGAAAGCAGTGGAAACTCAGCTCCAACACCCACTCATGCTGTCCATCTTGCTGCTGCCCACTTCTGCTAGCAATCCTGCTTCCTGGCAAAGAAGGTGATTGCCTTCATGTCAGAAATCCTTCAGAGGCAAAAGTCTTGGGAGACAAAACTTACTAATCTGCTCATGGGAAGTTAGGCAGGGGATCCCTCATGACTCTCCTCACCCACACACAGGGCCCATAGGATACGCCAACCCATTTACTTTAGGTTTACAGATCTCTCTCCACATTTTAAAGATACGTCTCCACGGAACGTAATGTGAGATTCACGACTTGTTTATAACATCCAAAGTCTAGCTTTTTCCTTTGACTACAACTACCTTACTTCCTCATATCTTATTAAATTGATTATTTCTCTTTCCCAGTATGACTTTATCTAAATGCTTTGAGGTCATGGCACACTTCAGAAATGGACAGAAGCTAGCCACATAAAATTGTGTATACAGTTCTAGACAGTTCAAGGATCCTCTCAAGGCCACCAATTCCTCCTAATTTTGATGCTCTTTCAGTGGTACTGCCTACAGCTCTGCCACCACTTACAACCAGTCATTTCCCAGCCTACGGACAGAAGCCTGTCTTTCATCTGTCTTTGCCACTCCTCAGCTGCAGCAATCTTTCTTGCAGGAGATCACAAACACAAGAGGACTCATTCACTGTCAAGTCATGGGAATATGTGAAGTCAGCCCCCTGCCTACCCAATTTTTTCAATACTCCCAGCCAGGGCTTACGCCATACCTGCTGTGAGTCACTCCTGCCTCTCTGGGCCACCTCTAAGATACCTAATATGGAACCTCCATTAGGCACCTAAATATGTCCAGCTCCTGGACCCCGGCCAGCTCCTCTTTGCTGCCTTTGCTGCCAATGTTCTCATGCCTCCCAGCAGTGTGTGACACGGTCCCCCCCTGCTACCCCCTCAGAACTCCCACAGCAAACACGCCTCTCCCCTGTCATCTTTCACCTCCACATCTTAGGCTGATTAACATGGGCAAATCAGTTCTGTATCTTAAAAAATCTCCCCTAAACTTTTTTTATTCCTTCATCTTCCCCGCCTTCCTGTCATTAAGCACTATGCCCTACCTTCATCTCTTACCAACACACTTCTCAAAGACACATCTTGCCGACTCCCCGGCACGGTGTCTCATGGCCATCTCAGCAACACTGCCCCCCACTGCAAGGCTCCCCATTACCTGACTCAGCCCTTTTCTGTATGTCCTCATGGCCCTGACGTGTCCTCTCCGTAAACAGGTAAACCCTCCTTTTTGAAAGTCGATGCTGCTCTGGTTTTGCAGACAGTGGAAGTTTCTGGCTCTGACTTTTAACCATTTGCCCTGGTTTTTCTTCTTATTTTCTAGAAGTACATGTGGCTGGAACAGTGCACAGGACGCCCTACCTCTTATGATATCTTAAACTTGCAATGTAGAAGAGTCTGGCCAGGCTCCACACCTTCTCCCATGCCATGTTTCAATCAGGAGCCTGTTTCCTGTAAACTGATCCCACAGCTAACCACATCAGTAACTTTTGCTAAACTTTAACTCCTGCTTGACTACTATTTTTCTTCAAAGAAATACCACCAACACTTTTTAGTACCTTAACGAGAATGACTGCCTCTATCACAAAGAGAAGGGGCAAAAAGAGGGATATGTGTGGGGTTCATATGCTAAGTACTTTACTGGATTCACTCACAAGACATGTGGTTCACACCTGTACCAGTCAACTCGAAATCTTATCTCAAAAGATTCTAAATGGCTACACATCATGAATTTACAGTGTCTCCTAAAACACACAAACTTCAAATGCTGTACTACACCCAAGGTCAAGCTCTTCTGGAGTTTTAATTGTGCAGCTGCTCCCCGAGCAGGCTCAGCTTATGCTGTCACTTCTGCTCCCACGAAGGCAGCCCTTCAACTCTTCTCTTTGGCTCTGTCCTCCTGTCCCTGCACCTTAAAATTACACTGCATTAGGCACCTAAATATGTCCAAAAATTAGCCAATAATTCTTTAGCTTCTAAACCTGTGTTTTTTAATTTTGCCAATGATGTGTCTCCTGGGCATAAGTGTCCACCTCTGGAAGGATATTTCACTCTTCCCCCGGCCTGCTATTTTGCAACAGGATCCCTGAGGTCAAATCATGCCTCTACCCAGGTGTGCTGCCCATCCAGCCAAGGACAGACCCGTTTGCCCACAACAGAGCTGACAGCACAGGCGGTATCATACCCAAGGTGGAGTGAAGCTCCTCTCAGCCTCATCTGGTCCAGCTCCGCCCTCAGAGCTTCAATGTTCAGTACAAGCTGCTCCTACAAAACAGTATGTGACCCACATTGAAACTATTTCATTTAGATTTTAAGATCACTTGCATTAAATGTGCTCAGATGTTGAAAATAACCATATCAGGTTAAACTGGCAGTTATAAATACCAAACATTTTAATTCTGAGAAAATTGTCTTCCAGAGTCCTACAGTAAATTAACACTAACCCCAATGAGTAGACAACTGTTATCTCGTCACAGAAAAACTATACGGGGATAAGCACCAACCAATGAAAAATTACTGACGTTGTAGAAAGAAGCAGAATTCTCCTAAGGAACAATAGTCACTCACTCGTGCACATGTGTCTGTATTGTTTCTAACTGTCTCATATCAAACATGTGCTCATTCCGGCCTAATTTCTAGAGCAGCACAGTCGCTACTGGCCACACAGGGCTATTGAGTCCTTGAAGTGCAGTGGTCCAAACTGACATGTACTACAAAGATGGAACACACAGGAGATTTCAAAGACAGTATGAAAAAAAGAATACAAAGTGGCTAAGTTTTACCTTAATAAACAATGAAATAACACAAATATCAGGCTAAACAAAATTAATTGTATCTATTTCTTTGTACTTCTTCAAATGTGATTACTAGCAACATAGAAACTACACATGTAGCTCATGTTGTATTTCTGCCAAACAGCACTGGATTTTGTTTCTGTTTTTTAGTACTGGGGAATGGCCTCTGCACTGAACTACATCCCCCGCTGTATGTGTGTGTGTACGTACACACATACATTTTCTTCTTTCTTTTTTCTTTGAAATAAGATCTCATTAAGTCACTGAGCTGGACTCGATTTTGCAATTCTCCACTAGCTTCCTAGAGTGCTGGGATTACAGGCATGAGCCAATATGTCTGGCTTGTTTATTTGCTTACTTAGTTATTTTAAGTGCTGGGGATGGAGCACATGGACTCTTGCATGCTAAGAATCACCCTACCACTGAGCTGTACTTTCAGCCCTACCAGTAGTACTTTTGATGAAAGGTTTATGCTAATATTTTAGCTTCAAACCAGAAAAGACTCAGGATTCTGAACTGAACTGTACCCAATGTACCTGAAATACAAATCTAGGAATGTTACACATCTTAATTAAGTAAGTGGACTAGGAAAGCCATAAAGAAAGGTTATCTCAACTTTAGCCTTGGGCTGGGGATACAGCTCAGTGGCACAAGCACCTGCCTGGCAAGTGCAAGGTCCTGAGTGATTCCCAGTACCAAACAAAACAAAACAAAACAAAACAAAACAAAACAAAACAAAACACAAAACTTGCCAAACATCTGCAGTAACTATAGAACAATTCAGTTCAACTCATCTCTTAACAAATTTTTCAATAAATCAGAGAAGATTTACGTACCTTATCATGTTGTGTTTCTTCTAATTGCTTTTTTGCATTTTCAACTTCTCGCAGTAGAGAATTCTGAAAAAGATAAAAAGAAGTCTTCAGTATTAATTCTTTAAAATGTCCCATGTGATAATGTGACTGTGGGAAGGTTCATATGGGTATACTAAGGAGCAGTGCCACAGTCCCAGTCCATCACTGGCCACAAGACTAGGACAACATGTATTGTCTCTTGCTTCTTTCACTTTTCTTTTGCTGTTTTTTTTTTTTTTTTTCTTTTTCTGGTACCAGGAATTGAACTCATGACCTTGCGCTTGCCAGGCAGGCGCTATGCCGCTGAACTAAATCCCCAGCCCTTCTTTCACTTTTCAAAGTTCTAGATTTAGCAATGCAAAGTTCATGGTACAAATTTATCTTAAGCAGGTAGAAAGTTCATATTAATGTTTAGGTTTTGCAATTCATTGGCCACTTACAAAACAAGAAATCAAGTTTCAAATGTAAAATTACATTACAACAAATATTTGTACTTTGAAGACTGATCTGATCAGGAGGTGAGAGTTAGCATTGTATGAGCTCTCTAAGAATGTATTTTGTAATCAGTTTTGTGTAAAATTGAATGTGTCTCTTAAAGAGAAGTAAGCATAGGTCTCTCTTGAACAAGCTCAACCCACCCTAGTGCCAATCTTGGGACATTTCTGAGCCTCATCTCCAGGGACACTGCACAATTAGAACAGGTGTCATCAAATCTGAGCCCAACTGTCTGTCAGAGCATCTCTGACAGAGACTCTGAGACTCCCTTCACTCTGGGAACAGCTAGCATACTTCCAGGACTCGAGCACTCAGAGCCCAAGCTCAGATTTCTTCCAAACTAAAAGAGAAAGAAGGAGGGGAGGGGAATTAGAACAGGAGACTATTTGATTTAGTTGATTAAATCCTTTCTCTTATACCATATGCCTAAAGTGCTACTGTGCTTATAAATACGATAGTAGTTAACTTCCAAGCCAGGTGTGGTGGTGCAGACCTTATAATCCCAGTGCCCTTGGTGGGCGAAACAGGACTATCACAAGTTTGAACCCAGCCTGGGCAACTGAATGACTTAGTAAAACTTTGTCTCAAAAAAAAAAAAAATAAATAAATAAATAAAAATTACTCCTAATGACAAAGCATTAAAGGGCAAGCACTGGGCCAAATAAAGATTCTAGTGCGCACAGAGTCTGGTAAACTAAGGTCAATTACCCAAACCCAGGCCACTGCTTATTGGGAAGAAAAAAAACATTTTTAAAAAGATAAGACCTATCCCCTCACCCAAGGCTGGCCACAAGGTCCTCCTGTCATAGCTGACATGCCAGCACAGCTGGCTAATGTAAGATTTTATTGGAGCAAAGCTACATTCATACACACAGGTGCTATCTATGACCACTTTTGTGCTAATTACTCAGCACAGTTATTTTACTTAATTCCTTGTAATTACAATAAGCCTGAAATATTTACTGCCTGGCCCTTATATCATTTACCTACTTCTGTCCTAGAGAACAAAATGACAATTTCCCATACACTCAAATGGGGCAAGAACACAGCAAATGATTAAGTCAACTTAGTGAATGATAGCAGCCTGCACCTTCCCCTCCACAGCAAGATCCCTACTTTCTGTAATGGTCATCCACCACCGTCAGCCCATCTTTTGGGAGAGAGGGTGAGCACTCCTCTGCAAAGGCCTTGCAGTGAGTCCGATGCTCAGCCTACCTACCTTATCTTCCAGAGCAGCCATTCTCTCCTTCAGATGAAGTTGAAGCCTCTCATTGGACTCTGAAAGCAACTTGTCAACAGTGTCTGATAAACGTTTATTATGTTCTTCATTCATCTTTTCTCTTTGCCTTGCCTATAACAGGAGAAATAGATTTTGGACTTCAAGTAGACATATTACCATTACTTTAGAAGTACCAGGGACTATTTAGGTATGGTGGTGCATGCCTGTAATCCCAGTGCACTGGGAGGATTAGGCAGGAAGATCTCAAGTTCAAGCCCAGCCTAGCCAAATTAGCCACTCAGTAACACCTTATCTTAAATTATAATTTAAAAAGAGCCAGGGATATAGCTTAGTGCAAAAGCCCTGAGTTTTATATCTATTACAGCAGAAATGACAACAAAAAGTACAAAGGACCAAAAGAGAATCACACATGTGCCATCACTCCCCTGGCTGCTCCGTTCCCACTGTCGTCCCCAGAGGGGACTCTGTAACACCATGTTCAGAACCAATTCAGGCAGGAAAAGCTCAATGACAGGTCTTAGAGATTGCTAACTAAACGGTCTCATTCTCTTCTGTTGAATACATGACTCATGGGGACCTCAGGAATGTCCACAGTCTTTAACTGTGAGATGCACTTAAAGTGGAAATGATATGCAAGAGGCAGCAGGTATTTAAGGGGATGAGCCCTCTACGTACTTTAGAGGAATTTTCAAGGGAAAAAAATGAATTTAATTTAAAAACAAAAAAAAGGTAAAAATAAATTATTTTGAAAAAAGTAGAGACAGGGAGGGAATATTTTGCTTTTTAAAAATATTCCTGCATTGTTAAAGTTTCTCATAATGTAAACTTATATCCAAAAACTACAAATAATTACCTTAAGTAATTTTAAAATGTGTTAACAAAGCTGACAAGTCTGGGGTTTTGCTTTTACCTTATTTTGTTACTATAGTACTAGGAATTGAACCCAGGGCCCAGAGCTATATCCTCAGCCCTTTTTAATTTTGAAACAAGGTCTCACTAAGTTATGTAGGCTGGGCTGGAAATTGTGATCTCCTGCCTCAGTTCTCAGAGTACTGGGATTATAAGTATGTACCCTCACAAGTGCCACACAGTCATTTCAAGACTTACAAGCTTGGTTTTTACTCCATATCCTGAATGAACACAAGCACCAGGTGAAACGGGAAGAAGGTGCTAACAGGAAGCACACACATTTCCCTGTTGCCTGAGCACTGCTGTGGTGCTCAGGGGCTCATCCCAGGCAGAAGGCAGTTGGTGTGAGCTGCAATGTGCACTTATGTCTCAGTGCCCTGCTCAGGTAGGACTGACTTTACAAGGACTTGCCTACCATGAAGCCTAGCAATGCCTAGGTATGCAGCTTCATAATCACAGGTAAACTGTGAGTAATAGCATCTCCCTTTACTCAGACACTCACTGTAAAGATTAAATAAAGTCCCTAGGATGTGCACAACACAGTCACTCATTATCTAAAAGAGTTCCACACTTCATACAGGATACAGAATCCCTGATATCCTTTTCTCTAGACACATGTGATTATTTTCTATCAGCATTTGAATACTTTTAAAGTAAAACAGTTTAACATTTACTTTTAACTGCCATAGTTATAAACAGCTCTACCACATTGAGTTACTCTTCATACCTCCATAAACCACTTGTCATAGTAATGAAGTCCTCTAATAGGGAAAAGGTTATCTCTGCGTACAGCAAAGAGTGTGCTTCAGGATGTGGCTGTGTGCTGGGGAAGTGGGGATTGCCTAATATGCAATCTGTTCATAGGACTCAAAATCATTATTTCCTAGAAGCTTATCTGATTCTCCACAGGGTATGGCCAAGAATACAGACTTCTGGTAAAGATAAAACCTAACAGTCTTAACATAAAAAAAGATGGGTGATGTGCGAGTGTGAGGGTTCTACAATTAGGCGTTTATGCTTCCTCCCTCCACCCATCTGTCGAAGAGAAATCCAGCCCCAAATACTAGGTCAGGTGGCATCTGGGCCTGGGAGTACCTCTTCCTGTATCTGTTCCACAGTGGCACTCGCTCACCTCTGTCAGGGAAAATTCTGTGAGAATTTCAACTGACAGAACTCTCTACCACCATATTTTCCTACTGGTCTTTTCATGGAAGCTCAATTGTGATGTTTCACTTGCTGAAAACTATCTCTTCCTTCATCTATCCTTACGTTTGGAGTTCATAGTTCAATACTTTGGAACAGAGGTTTGACCATGAATTTGGGACTTCAGTGCCACATCCTGAGCAAGAAGACTACTCATCTACATTAACAGGCCTTGCTCTGTTTCAGGTGGGCCTGGGCAGTACCACAGATTTTAAGGGAATGTGTAAGATCCCACTTGTACCTGCAGGAGTTCCTTCAACAGACTGGCTAAGCATGAAGCCTTTCCTGGACTGGGGTCCCACGTACCCATGCAGTGGTGCCCATGGGCATGCATTTCTTCTGTGGATATAAAACTTCTGTGTGGGGGATGTATTCATCAGTGGACAACTCATGGACAAAGCCACAAAGTATGCACAATAAGAACTGAGATGGAGGCCCTCTGGGAGACCAGAGAGAAGGCAACACTAGAAGAGACCCGATCCCCTTTTGCTGGGCTTTGGAGCTCCAGGCTCACAACCCATTCGGTCCCTCTGGCTCCATACACACCCGCTGCAGTTCTTGGTTCTTCTCCTCCAGCTGTGCCTCCATCTGCCGTAGCCTCTCTTCAATGTTGCCATGTCTCTCTTCAGCCTGCCAACAAAGACAATGTGAGGGGATCTCACAGGCACACTATCAGAGGCATGCTGGGTACTACTGCAGCAGCAACAAGCATCACATGCTCTGCATGAACTGGCCAGACCACATCAAAGGGAAAGCCTTGCTCACACTGGCCAGCACACCCTCTGTGGCTGCACGTGTTAAACCGTGAGAGAGCCAACCCTCTGGTGTGGAGATGCTGAAGCACAGCGGGTGCTAGTGACTAACTGTGTGCTTCCCCCACCCCATGCCTGACCTTCATGGATTTGTGATTTCCCCATCCTCAGACTGCAACTCATTAGTCAGCAGGGAAAGCAGAAAGCAGCAGGCACAAGAAAGAAGCAATGTACACATTCTACCTTCCTAAGCTTGGAAGTAAGTTCGAACAGTTTAGCTTCCTTAACAGCAGAGCTCCCAGAAGACAAAGGGTCAGACTACAAAACCAATGAGGACAGAAAGATAGCAGGGAGAAAAGAAACCGACACTGTAAAGTGGATCACAAAGGGGAGGCAAGGTTCTGTTATAGCTGGTAGCAACACATCTGCTCAAAGGGACAGGTCTATCAACCTTGGACACCACCCACCCTCCCCCAGGTTACCCTTGCCAGCAGGATGTGGAGTCTGTCCAGCCCCTTTCCCCGCCCCCCAGCAGCTGACTAAGCCCAGGCCCAGGAAGATAGGATACCTTCCAGAGGCCAAGACAGTGCCTACTGATGCTGTATTGGGCCTGGCCATGTGTCCTGCCACTTCAGCACTAAGCTTTTTCCTATGTCCCTGGGAAGCTGAGCCTTACCAGTAAGGTGCTCCAGAGTCCCTGTGTGGACTGACCAATCAAAGCACCTGTTATACCACTTGGGAGCTGCCTCACATGCCTGTTTCCCCATGGATATTGAGAACTGGGAGGGCAGGGGCTATTCCTGTATAAGCTCAGCCAGTCAATAGTTCTTGAACAACGATTACCTTAAAATCTTAATTTTTAAGTCAGGCATGATGATGTACGCCTGTAGTCTCAGCTATTTGGGAGGCTGAGGCAGGAGGATTACATGAGTCTAGGAATCAGGAGTTTGGGGTCAGCTTGAGCAACAGAGCAAGACCTCGTGTTCAGAAAAATAAAAAATCCTCAAAACATTTTTAAGTAATTTTTTTTTCATTTTTAAGTAATTTTAAAAGAATGAAATTACTTAAAAATTTACTACAAACTTATTTTGATTATCTTTATAAGAAAATGGCTTTTTTTGTATCTCTGAAAAAAAAGCCATCCTCTTTTTATAACAAAGCTTCTAAGCCTATGCTTAAAGTTGGTGACTAAAATAATCCTAACAAGCAGTGACTCAGATCACAACATGGTGGATGCACAGCGTATACCTGACAGAACGGGAAGAAGACTCAGGTTAACGACAGAGAAGGATGCTGCCTGACATTTACAAAGCAATCCCATCCCAGACAAAACAGCACTGAAAACAAATCTGAACTGTTCCATGGATTCAGGTGTCCTGACATGGATAATCAAAGTCCTAGCATGTGACGTGGGCACCAGGGTACCTTGGACAGCGCTGCCACTCTCTGGGCCAGCTCTGCCTCCACCTCTGGCAGTGTCTCTGCCTTCCTCAAGGTCTGCTGCAGCTTCTGCTCAGCCAGCTCCAGGCGCTCCTGTAACTGGCGGTTTTTGTCCTCCGTCTAAAGAAGAGAGCTCAGCATCAGAATGCAGCACCTCCTTCCTGGCTTTTTTCCATTGTTAACAGATTTAGACAAACTGAACACAGATGTAGACTGAACTGCAAGTCAGAAGCCACAGGGACTGGGCAGCTGCTTTGGGACAAGGCTTTTCTCTTTACCTTGTTGGGCTTGATTTCAATGTGTAAAATACCTCTTTTGATAAAGTTTTTGCTTTTCATAAATATCTTCAAAGAAGTTAGTGTTTTTTAAAAGACAAAGGTTCCTATATCTTAAGGAAACTCAGTTTTCTGTAAGAGCTCATTCATTCTTATTGACAAGGTAAGAAGGGCTTGGACAGCCGGGCATGGTGGCACACCCCTGTCACCCCAGCACTCAGGAGGCTGAGGCAGGAGGATTGCTACAAGTTCAAGGCCAGCCTAAAATGCATAGTGAGTCCCTGACTCAAAATGACTGAAAAGGAAGAAAAAAAAAAAGAAAAGAAGAAGGGCTTGGTACTAACCCACGTCGAAAAGCAACCCGACCCCAACTTGAAGGTGACACTGCTTCTGCATATTACTGCCAGAGGGCAGGCCTTATTGGCTCTGGGCACCTTTCTCACAGAGTTCTTCCAAAAGCATCCTAATGATAAGCTGCTCAAGTTTTAAAGTTGATGATTACTATTTTAAAAAATCCTCTAAAAAAATTTTAATGTAGAATATTTAACAAAGATTTTTTTGAAAACATCTCAAAAATATCTCCAAGTATAGGTTCTAAGAGGCTATTTTCTTTTATATGCAGTATGCCCTTCTTCTCAGTGCACATTTATCTCAGTATAGGAACATATACATCATCCTTTAAATCCTCAAAAACACAGCATATGTTCTATTTTATAATCTGCTTATTGAAGTCATTCTTACTATGAACCTTTTACATGTTATTAAACATTACTTTACAACATCACTTTTAATGCTAGTCTACTATTTTATTTTTGAGCAAACAATGCACATTATAAAATATAGTGGTACTACAGTTCACGAACTCTATTTTTTCTACAACTTTGGAAAAAGATGGTCACATTTGTGTTTGCGTGGGAAAGATGGCAGCAGTCATGACTGTCATCCAGTGCAGAATTTGGGACAAGGCTTTTCTCTTCACCTTGTTGGGCCTGATTTCAGTGAAATCAAACAAATGAAACTTGCCAAATGCTTCTGTTGTAAATCAAACTGTTCATAAATAAATGTGTTCATGAACCAAGGCGCCACTGTGCCAAACATTTTTCAAGAAACCCGATGCAAGTGTTTCTAGTTACCAAGAACAAATTACCCTGAAGTTCTTTGACACTCTGCCCCTTTAGTAAAAGTACTAATAAGCAAAAGAATAACTTTCAATGCAAATGAATGAATCAAAGAATGTACCTCCACAAATATTATTCATTAAAATCAGAAAAGGGTCCATAAAATCCATTACCTGTCGATGTATAGAATCTTTATTTGCAATTTCATTTTCAAGTTTATCATTGAGGTCATGCACAGATGTGGCTTCACGCTGTGCAGCGAGGTAGCGTTTTTCAAGGGTAGTGATTCTCTCCTCCATGTCTTCCTTCTGGGCCATTGCCTAAATTAGGTGTTTCAGAGGGGGAAAAGGGCAGGTAGTTAATGCATAATGTATTAATATACTTCAGTGAGAAAAAACTGGACAAAATCCTAAATTCAAATCATATATAAAAACTAAACTGATGTCCTCAAGACTAAACTGCTGTCAATCTTCTCAAATGTGGATGAAAATGTACTTATAGCAAATGTAAATATTCAATATGATTAGCACAGATTCATCTGAGTAAATGCTGTCTTACTACTCACTTTATCAAAGCTTATCCTTTTGTACGTAATATATTTACATAATTTTTTACATAATATTACAAAGTACGCATAAATAAAATATCTTAAACTATAAGAATTCAAGAAGGTGATGGTGTCCGAGATGAAGACAGCCTATGTCTGCCCTCAGCTACAAACAGGCTTACTAGTACAGGGCATGGCCTTTCAATGGGCATAGCAGCAAGACAGAAAGATTTATTTTCTCAGGTGAAAGTTGGATAAAATCCCATATAATTACAAAATTCAGGCACACTGACAAATGGAACGTAAGTCAAAGTTTAACTGAATGCAATCACCTGAAGTACACATTCAAATTTATATTATACACTATCAAACACAACTTTTTATGTGTACAATTCCTGTCTTCTATCCCCAAATTCACTGTTGTTTGGGTCTTTCTCTGTCTACTAAGTAATTATTTTTAACAAATTCTTAATATTTAAAAAGGCAGATCTTAAAAGAAAAATTTCACAATTCCCTTTACAGGAATATTTTCCTGCCACGGACAAAAAATAAATACTATAGTAGGTTACATAACATATGCCAATGCTTTCCTTTGTTCTAAGTTCTCACAAAAAAGTACCCCAGTAAGCTACCAAACACAAGTAACCCTGTTCTACACACCTGCAAACTAGCCCTGGGCCTCACAGAGCCATAAAGGGCAGGTTAAAAAGTGACGGGAGGAAGTATCAGAGAAAATATCTAGCCCTCGTTTGATTTTATAATAGTGATTAGTTTCTCATAAAATTACACAGCAGAAATGTTTTTCAGAAATGAGCATATCTGGACATATTTTTACATCAAGATCCTGATGATCCAAATGTAAACAAATTTCACACTTTCATAGTTGACCTGACCTCCAAAACTCAGTATCATACCTCTGTGCATGAGGAAAATACCAAAAAACTAGAAGACAGCTGATAATGCTCCCTTTTCCATAGCCCCAGAGAACACTCACATCTAAGTGAGCACAAAGCACAACTAATACCGACATGTACTTGTTTAGGGAGTGCATGTACTTGTATAGGAAGAAGGAAGCTGAACATAAGGAAGAGCACATTATGACAGCTTAAAGCTATAGAGACGAAGAATCTACATGAGAGTGGAGAATGAACTCAAATAACCCAAGTGGGAAAGGCTGGGCAAGTTCTCCTCTACTCTTTTATTTTTTCATTTCTTTTGGTACCTGGGATCGAACTCAGGACCTTGTGCTTTCCAGGTAAGTGGTTATGTCACTGAGTTACATCCTCGGCTCCTCTGCTCTTTTAAAAGACTGCAGGAAAGGAGAAATTCTCCAACCACATGGAGGCAGTATATCACAGTCTGATAGCATTACTGTGTTTTATTATTACTCATTCAATAATCTAAAGGCTGAATGTAACTGACAGGAAAGGACAAAAGTAGCAGAAAAAAATAATCAGTTATCCTAAACACTCCAAATACTCAACATTATAACCCTGCAATTTTTATTATCACTTACTTCACGAACATCTCGTTGCAATTTTGTGTTCATTTCTTCAGACTTGATGAGATCCTTTCTAGCTGTGTCAAGATCCTCTTCCAGCTCCGACACATGGCTGGAAAGTGTAGCCAGGCGCTCCTTCATCTGGTTCTGTTCTTTCGATTGCTTGTCTATGACTTCCTGGAGCTCAATTACTTTAGCAAGGTCTTCCTCGTGGCTTAAAGAGCCATCAGATGATCTCTGATGGGTTAAATAAATAAATAAATACACACACACACACACACACACACACACACACACACACACACACCCTTTAAATAACCTTAGTGTAATACAAAACAAAATAATTTCAGGAATAGGGACCATCAAAATGGATTTATATCTGTCGGATGACAGAGTTCTCACAATCACTTCAGCTGCAAGCACGGATTTTAGCAACAGCTTCCAAACAGCATCACATACGTACCATGAACATACAAAATCAGAAACAGAACAAACAGAAAGCCCAAGGACTTACTTTTCCATTAGTGCTTGGTGTATTTTCTTGTTCATGGTTTATGTCAAGCACTCCTTCTGTTAGTGTTTTTTTCTGATTATTCTGTTCTTTAAGAATCATTAGCTAAAACCAAAAATTGAGTTTAAGAATAAAACAACTTTTTTTTGTGGGGGAGGGTGCGTTTTCCAGTACTGGGAATCAAACTCACAACCTTGTGCTTGCCAGGCAGGCGCTGTGCCACTGAGCTAAATCCCCAGTCCCTAAAATAACTTTTTAAGAGAAGTGAGTAAAGACAGCAAAATTCCTTTTGGAGAAACAGAATTATACAGTGCTAAAAGTAAAACAAGAAAGTATATGGTAATGCCATCCATCCTGAACAGAACCAGATTACTAGAAACAGAATTTACTAGCTTCTTGACAAAGGGTATTTTAGAAATTCTACAATCTGAAATAAAAGTCTAGTCTCAATTCAAATGACCCCATCAGGTTGGTCTTTAATTAGAAAGATAAACAGGCTCCATAGTTTTTTTTAAAAATTCTGAGATAAAAATAAAAAACTGCCCAATTCCAGTGCTACGATGATGTCTCAAAATTACCTCCTTGTGTGTGGCTCCTAGTTCTTCTTCTAACAAGCTGCACCTTTCCAGGGCTACTCGTAACCGCTCTCGCACCTGAAAACAATGTTGAGTTTTTGTATGTATACATATTCTTGCTGTAATTATCCTAATATAATATTAGTGAAATATATACAATAAAGTACTATGTCTTTCATTGATATTATTGTCAAGAAAATGTCCTTGTTAATGGCTTTAAATTTTAAGGCTGAGAAACTCTTGCTCCTAAATAAATTAACATTACCAATTCTTAACAGGAAGTCAATACACAGAATCAGTCAATTTATTTTTTTTTCCCTCGGTTTTCTTGGTTTTTATCCGGTACCGGGAATCGAACTCACGACCTTGCGCTTGCCAGGCAGGCGCTGTGCCGCTGAGCTAAATCCCCAGCCCCAGAATCAGTCAATTTAAAACACACATACCAGATAGTACTTGTTAATCATATACAACACTGCCTTTAACAGAGAAAATCTGTTTACAAGAATTCAAAAAACTACAAAAGTTAAAGGTAAACAAACACATGCAAAGTCTGCTATAACACAGCATGTGCACAAACCCAAAACCATTAGTGTAACTGATGTACCTTTTCATCTAGGGCCTTGTGGTGTTCAAACAAGGACTTCAGTGCTTTAAGCACCTCCACCTCGCTGGACACACCTGCAGGAGACTGTGCTTGCCGCTTCACCACAGTCATCCTGAGAGAGCGTTCATGCCTGGAGACAAGGCACTCCAAATGTTCTAGGAGCAGCTGAAACAAGGCCAAACAGGGACATGTAAAGAGCATCTTTCATTTCACATTCAAGTCCTTTACACTCTCATGCTAAAACATGTTCAAATCCTTTTAATTCAGTAGAGTTAGATAAGCTCCCCTCAATTGTATTAGAATGTCATTAATTCCCGTGACAAATTTCTTATTTTTCTTTTTTTAAAGACAGGGTCTCATTTTGTAGTCTAGGCTGGGCTGCGACTCACTCTCTAGCCCAGGCTGTCCTCTAACTCAAGATATTCCTGGATCAGCTTCCTGAATGTTGAGACTGTAGGTATATGCCACCATGCCTAGCTTATCATAAATTTTATGCAACGTTTAATGCTCAAATGACTGAACACACATACTCTACTCAGAAGGAAAAACCACAAAAAGAGTTTAAAAGCAGTCAGAATGAGTATCTTTTCATTCTAAGACACCAAAACTGATCCTGATGTTGACTCTAGAGAAGGATGGTAACCAGAGCCCACTGACCCTTGTGTTGTTCCTTTCTGCTTTCAGCTCGGCAATTTCTTCTTCCCTCTCAAGCAGCTGTTCTCTGCATATGTTGAGTTCTTTCGTGAGTGCTGCAAACTCCTACAAAGCAGCAAGAAAATGAACACATGCATAAATAAAAATCTCTTAGGCAAGACTTCCATTGGCCGCATAGTCCACACACACAGGCAACCCAATCACAGGATATATGGCGTGCTCCTCCAGAGAAATGGGGATCAACTAGCTGGCCTGAGACTACGTATGTATTCCCTATAGGATGAGACCCTAATCCAGACCATCTGACTTCCCTCCACCCTAGGCACTGCTGAAAGCGCAACAGGGGATAATGGCAGTCCACGCCCACCCCCTTAGAATCCAAAAGCAAATATTTTCCTGAACTGGAATCCCAAAATAAAGCACCTGAAGATATTTTTAAGTGACTCACAGATTTGGGACCTAGAATCCTTGAAGAGATAAAGGAAAAAAGGCTTAGAAGGTCACCACCTAGTTCTAGTCTTCGCTCTATGCTGATTCGTTCCTGGGGGCAGAATAACTTGGTTTCCCTGAATAATTTGGTCAAAGTCAACTATGAAAAAACTGGGCTTTTTTCAAGTACTAGTCAGCCTTTTGCAAAGAGGAAGGTCTAAGAAAACTATTTGTGCAGCAGTATGGGAGAGCTTCCAGAAGGCTGAGAGAGGCCATAGGAGCCTCGCATCACTGTCCTGGTATGAACCTTGTGCTATGACATTGCTTCACAAACATCACAAATGAGCTGAGTTCAAAGACGTGAATGTGGAGCAAAGCCACTCTGAAATAAGTATAATCATCAGCCAATGCTCCTCTCCTTAAGTGTTTTTCCATTAGAAGATAAAGAACGATAAAGATCCACCTGATAAATAATTAGACCTTCAAAATAACACATGCTTGAGTTAGGTAATTCTAGAAAGTTGGTTTAAAACAGTGATATTCTTAAAGTGCATTCATAGCAATTATTTGCAACTCAAAGTCAACCTCACCACAGGAAGTACAGGCCCATGGAAGTCTGCTTTAACCAGGCCAGCCCTCATATGCCTATGTGAGCCATAGTGAGAATGCGTAAGTAATGTGTGAGAGATAAATAGAGGCAGCACTGCCACAGAAAGCAGTGGAAAAGAACAAAATTTCTCTTTTAAACTAGTATTTCTTCTGTAAGAATCATGACAGTGGTGAGTTCTACTGGCCTGGCAACTGGAGCTTTGCAGCATGCTCCCCAGGGAAATGTGAGGAAATGATTAAAAACCACCTTCAAGCTCCTGGAAATGTCTCAAAGGGTAACAGCAAATGAGGAAATATCTATTCAAGAAATATCAGTAAGAAAGCCAGGGGTCCATAGTATTTTAACTAGGACTTCTATCTGCTTCCCCTCCCAGCTCAGCATAGTGGGCTTCACTGCAGATTGTTCCAACCTAAAACACAGGGCCCTTCACCAGGCCAAAACCACAGTGGCTCCTCAGACTAACACTGCAGGGTCCCTTCTTCCAGGCTAGCAACAGCGTTCCCTCCTAGGCCAACAATATAGGGTCTCCTCCCCAGGATAACAACATATAAAGTCTTCTCCCTTGGCCAACAGAGGGTTCTTTCTCCAAGCTAGCAACACATGGTTCTCACAGCCAAACCAACACTGCAGTGTCCTTCCTCTCCTAGGCCAACAAGGCAGGATCCCTTCCCCAGGGAAACAGCACAGAGGTATTCCCCTGCCAGACCACAATGCAGGATCCTCTTCTCAGACTCACAATGCAGGGCCCCCTACCAGGGCCAACAAGGTCTGCTCCTTCCTGCCAACTAGGTAAAAATCATCCAAATGTGTCTTGAACCCTGATAAAGGTCCAGCCAGGTGTTGAGACATCTTCACAGGGCCAAAAGCCAGTCTTTAAGAACAAGACTTGTGGATGGTAAGCATTGGAGCAAAGTGCCAAGCTGCCAAGTAGAACTTTGCCCTGTTCTCTACCAAGTGTGCGCTCTTCCCTATGGTACTGAGATTTCTCCTGTAGATGCCAATCCTGCCCTAGTGGATGCTCTGACTGGCATCTGCCCTCTTGATGAACTCCAACTGACTGTCGGGTCATCTAATAACTACCACTAATGACAGAGTGTACCATCTCATTAATGGGATCTTTTATCAGAAAGATTCTGTGGCAGATAGAAGAAAAGTGGACTTCAACTAGCCTAAGTCAAAAATCAATTACATTTCACACACCTATCAAGTCTGTGGGCAGACCTAGCTCTAGGCCTACCTGAATTTAGGGCCTTGAATTTTTATCATTTTATCCCTCTTTGCTACAATCTGGTTCAACTGTGTGGAGTTACTACCAATTGTCTGTGTTTGACTTTGTCTACAACACAGTCTATCATCCTAGCTAATGTCTGTTTCATTTACTAGATTCCAAGTTGGTTCTTTGTCATATCTGCCTGCTCTTATTTCACTCCCTGTTTTCATGGATGTTAATCTGTCTCTAAGTATCATGCATACTTATTTTGGCAGTTTTGGCAGATTCTCCATCGATTTCTGACAGAGTAAAGTAGGCACACATCAGTGAGGAGTCATCTCTGCAAGAGTATCTATCTTTTTTTTTTTTTTTTTTTTTGGTTTTTCTCCGGTACCGGGACTCACGACGTTGCGCTTGCCAGGCAGGCGCTTTGCCGCTGAGCTAAATCCCCAGCCCCTAAGAGTATCTATCTTTAAGCACTGTGGAATCTGGATTGCATGCTCATCTAGATGGGGAAGTTTTATGTTGTTAGCACTATCCCTGTCTCAGTCACTTTCAGCTACTATAAAGAAACTACCATAGACTGGGTGGTTAATAAACAACTGATAATTATTTCTCACAGTTCTGGAGGCTGGAAGTCTAATATCTCAATGTCGGCAGATTCAGCATTGGGTGAGGGCCTGACTGCTGACTTTTCCCTGTGTCTTCACATGACAAAAGGGTCAGGGAACTTTCTGTGGTCCCTTTTATAAGGAAGGGCATTAATCCCACCCAAGGGACTCTACCCTCATGGCTCCAGCTCCTAACACCATCACACTGAGGGTTAGGATTTCAACATAAGCCTTCTGCAGAGGACACAAACCAAAGAACTAGAACTGCAGTTGCTGGCCTCCTACCTTCCCCCTAGGTGTCAATCCAGAATCTGGTTTTCCACGGTGATACATGGTTCCATGATAGAGTATGTTCACCCTGTTACAGAATCACTGGAAGGGGCAACTCAGCTCAGGTCTTGCTTTCTATACTTCTTAGGACCCTGACATCCTATTAAAGCCCCAAGGTGCATAGCTGAGAGTGGCCTTAGTGCTGGGAATCCTTACCTAAGCCCAGCTTCAAAAAGTGTACCAGGACTTAGTTTCAGTTCTTCAGTCCTTCTGACTCTAACCCTGAAGAACTAAATCTCCCATGACATTGTCTGCTGGGTGCACAGGCTCAGCAGACCAGTGAGGAGCAACTCATGCCTACCATGTAGGCTTCCAATCTCCTTCTGTACAAAGGGTCTTCATCTCATTTGTAGACTTGGCTGTCTTTTGTTTGTTCCTCTAAGTTCTACCTTTTCACTGCTTGTGCTTAGAGTAGAGGTATGGCAAAACATGGGTTTATGCATCGTTTTTGGTCAGAATCACAATTCATTTAAAGAACTGTTTCATACCTAGTCTGTGACAGCCACTGGGCCATCAGAGAGGCAAGGTACTCCTCAGGGTGCTCTACAGGGAAGACAAACTGGACAGAACCTTCATGTAATAGAATGAGACACACCCAGGCTACTAAGCTATCCATGATGGAACTGGGCATGCTTATCAGCTTTGCTAAAGGAGATGGCAACTGAGTTGATTTTTTGTTGTGGTGCTGAGGCTCAAACCCAGTGCCTTGTGCATGCAAAGCAAGAACTCTACCACTAAGTCACATCCCCAGCATTGAGTTGATTCTGAACAACCTACTTTTTCACAAAAACATGAATGGCATCTGGAAAGTGAGAAGGGCTGGGGTCTGGGGAGCAGGGGTGCAGAAATAAGGTGAGCAGCATGATTGTGAAAACCCTGTACAACAGTCAGAGTCTGGACTCATCTGCAGGGGTTCTCTTATCCACAGCCTGGGAGGGCCTCGAACAGGGAGTGGGCAAACGATCAGAGTCTCAGGCAGTGCTCAGCATGACGAAGGCTGAGCTGGGCTGCAGAGGGAGAAGATGATGAGAAACCAGCCAGCAGCGCCACAGAAGCCCCAGGAAGAAAGGAGGCTCTGAATTAAGATCAATACTAGGGAGGGAAAAACTCAAAAAGAACTCTTAACACTAAACAGAAGAATGTGAGACAAGCATCAGGTGCACAAGCTGCACTCTTCATCTACTTCAACAGGACTTCCAGTCACTGTTTTCAAGAGCCTGTCAGGGGTCAAGGCTAAGAGCTGGGGAACAGACTCACCCAGGGCTACAGGTATGAGAAACAGGGCTTGTGGGTCTATTTTAAAGCATAGAGATAATGAACACATCTCAGAGCAATGATGGCGAACCTGCAGCACACGTGCTGCAGCCAACTGTTTGTTATCACTTAAAGCCCTGTAAGGTTCACCATCACTGTCTTAGAGGAAAACAGGTTTGGGGATGACTCTAAGAATTGAGATGGCAGTGACCAGAGGAAGAGTATGTTTTGAGTGGAAGATCTAAGAACTGTATTTGTACTTGATGAATTTGAGATGAGTGCTACATAGCCATGGGGCAACATCAAGTGGAGAGCTGTAACTCTCACTCTGTGGTTCTTGGCACTATCGGGGGAGGGGATACCAGTATCATTTTCCTTCCATGCAATTCAGTGTAGACAAGAGGAGATGAGGGTCAAATCCTGGACAGTCAACACTGCTGAGTATCAACAAGGAGCCTGGGATAGGTCTGCCAACACAGGAGGGAAAGTGGAAAGGAGACTTTTGAAGCTGCATGTTCTCAGGTGGAAGACCAATCACATGTATGCACTGACACTGGCAGATTAAGTCAGCTGACACATCACTGACAGCAGAATATGCTGAAATGGAGACCAACAGTGGCTCTGTGCAATGGTGGGCAAAGTGTAACACAGCATGGGAGGG